TATATATATATATATATATATATATATATATATATATATATATATATATATATATATATATATATATATATATGTAATTTTAAAAATATATATAATATATATAATTATACAACATATGTAACTTATTTATCTACAAAGATAAGATAGTATAAGTAAACAGATACAAAGACAGACTGTATATTACAAAAATTTACTATTAAAGAGCGTATAATCGTGAGGATAGAACTGACAAGGATTTTTCATTCCAACGTACAGATAAGGAAATCTCGTTCGTTCGGGGGTACGAACGAGTTTTTACCGTTATTCGGGAAGGATAGCGGGCGAACGAGGGGAGGGGGAAGAGGTTAAGGGCGGGATTGTTGGTGCTGAAGCAAAAGGGGGAAGGAAAGGCTGGAGGGGAAACGCGGCAGGTGTTCATACACAAAGAAACTGAAAGGGAATCCCACGGCCATTGGCTCGAGTCTTCAGGAATGCATAGAGTTTCATCAGCATTCGCGTCTCAAATATACATACATATGCACAATGCGTGCAAATCTATATTGTCTTAACATACAATCATAAAAGCGCAAAAAGTCTTGCGTGCATACACGCATTAATTGCACCTTAAGTATCAGCGAGTGTTCGAGTTTCTTTGGTAGAAAGGTGAAGGAGAGGAAGAAAGAATCTCTCCACAACGCGTCAATTTGCGCGCTTCGAAAGAGAGGGAAAGAAGAAGAGGGAAGCTTCCAACGACAAAGCGAGGTCATTCATTATCAATTCATTTCGATTTAAATCGTCGTGAGCGCGGCAAAATATTCGCTATACGCGTACGTGTGGCGCACGCATAAATTTAAACTCTGTCCCAACTGCACATTTTTGCTCTTTCTAAACGAGACAGGGTACAAGAGCAAGTGTAGAAAGTGCAACTAAAACGGACGGATAGTCGCGACGCCATTCGAGCATTGTGTCGGCCGCGCGCGCGCACACTGATCATTATATACCGGTTTCGAATCCGCGAGGAGGATCCGAGGAATCGCGACCTCGCTTGCGACCGTTAACTATCTTACGCTCGCGTATCGTCGCGCAACTTCGGAGCGAAAAGAGAACGTCTCTGCCTTTCTCCATTTCTCTTTGTCCCTCTCATTTACCTCGCGCGATAGCGTATCACTTTTCCCAGAAGAAGCCTTCGGAGGAAAGAAGAAGAAGAAAAGGAGGTACAACAGGTGCTGCCACGATTGCCGTCGGTGTCGCCGTTACGGCTGGAACCGTGTCCCCGCGCGCACACACAGATTATGTCTCCCTCCCCCCTCTCTCTCTTTCTCTCACACTCCTCTCCTCGCCTCTACAGGTCCAGTATCCTTGGATGAGTGTGGATCTAGTCACGCGTATAAACGTGAAACGTGGACTGAATTCAAACCCATCCAGGGCCGCTGGACGGGCGATCAAGAACTGTCCTTCCCATCTCCGGTTGGCCGAGGTCACTTTGAATCCAGAATCCCAACGGAGACGTCGTCTTGGTCCTGGTCTTCATCTTCGAGCACTAACGTCGTTCACCGAGTCGCAAGGAAGAGTGGTGCACGTTTGCTCGGGAACGGCATTAGCGGCCCCTCCGGTAGGAGCATTCTCGAAGAGAGGGGTCTGTACCGCTTCCCCTCCTCTCTCCAGTCCTTCCACGTAAATCTTTCTCTCTCTCTCTCTCTCTCTCTTTTTCTCTCTCTCGTTCTGTCGCGCCTTTCTCTCCTCTTCTTACACGATGAGGCCCTTAACGCTCCGTGTAGGGAGCTCAGGGTGAGGAAAGGGGAGAAGGGATACTTTTTCCCAAGGCGTCGGGGATCACAACAAAGAAAGATGCGATTTTCGTGGCGAACGGTCGAAAGGAGAAGTTTCTGGACAGTTTAAGTCTCTCGCTAAATTAGAGAGACACATACCTGCTTTTCTACCGGAAAGCAATGCCGTTTATTTGAACGAAACGCGCTTCCACGAAAGAAAGCAATGTCGATGAAATGCTAGCGTTTCTTCCAACGGGAGAAATATTCGTATATCGTTCGTTATGCCGTTGAAAACAATGATGTTTATTATTTTGAATCGAATTCGTGACGCGAGGTTACCCACATATTTACAGGATCTTCACAGGACATTCTAAAAATATTCTGAGAACGTCCTTACATCTTGAGAATGTTCCCCAGACATCCTCTAAAGATTTTGTGCTCTCTATATGATTATAATTTTTGCTTACAAACCTCGTTTCAACAAAAATGACATGGTTTTCTTTCGAACCCAATGCTACAAAATTTCGCTTGTGATTGCTGTAAAACGCGCTTGGGTACTGCGCATTGTTGTACAGAACGAATTCTCAGGTGCAGAGCGCCGATCGTATTGCGCAATAGCGGACGATGACCTTGAACCTCATTTTTTCTTTTATCTTTCTCCCACAACGTCTCGAGATACAGAGAAGCTTCCGCAGCGGTGGTTCGTCGTTCCGTCATTTACATTTAAATAATTCGAAACCGGGAACGGTACCATATTTTTTGACTGCGAGATTTTAAATAATAATGTAATTATAATTTTAGAAATTTGTGAGCTTTTGACACTAAAGACACGGCAAGACATACATACGTTATCATCGATAAGTTTAGAAACGTAAGACGAATTTGTAAAGAACGTTATGAGAACAGTATGTTATACAATTCGCAAACAAATAACTAATAATTTAATTAAAAACAATCATGTAAAATTATTTTTTTATGCCGTGTTTATAAATTTCCCGACAATAGAGTGCTCTATGTCCTTGAGTGTCGTTGAGCTATCTTCTTACCGCGTTTATTTTTCAGATAACGCGAATGTTTAATGGACAGACGTTAATCATTCACGTCTCCTATGAGCACTTTTCGAATCTTGAACCCAGCGAGAAATGACTCGTCGATCGATGAATTATTTCTCGCTGGGGATGTTACCTTCTTACTGCATACTGCATGATAAATATCACAAAAGAATGGTAAAATGCGGCTGTGAATTTTTGTGACTTTAAGGATGAAAAGAAACGCTATTTGTGGGGAAATGACAACAATACAAACGGTACAATGGCAGGGTAGACGGGTCGACGAACAATGAGAGAATTGAAGATATTCATGAAAGAAACGTAGTCTATTTTTTCACGCGACACGATTGACTCGACTATTTTAAAGAAGCCATTATTCTGCAATTCTTTCTTTTTTAGAAGTACAAGGGGACATGTTCATTGAAAGGAAATGGTAAAATCGATTTTCTATTTGAAATCCTTCCTTCGGATTAATCTGTTCGGAATTTTACGTTTAATGTAAATTCGATATTATTTAATTAAAATCTCTTTTAATGGGTGATACGATCACAATATTTGCAGCGTTGAAATATGATTTCAATGGTAGCAATGTTGTTTTCGAGGCTGAATTTTGGCAGAAGATGATCGAAGCACCACTGTCGAGAGAGCTAAGATGCCAAAGCAGTGGTTAAGATGAAATGGAAAAAAAGTGGAGAGAGACGGAGAATGTTAGGTCACCGAAAGCGAGCGATGGAGAGAAACTCTCTGAAGAAGAAGAAGAAAGAGGAAAGGGACTCACAATTGTCGTTTCCATAATGATTTATACGGCGAACCCAGTGTGCGAAGGGAAAAAACTGGTGCAAAACTAACCGGGAAAGTTCGCTCTAGCGGCCTCTGTCGGTCATCGAGTAAATCTCCGAGAGGATACACAGGTGTTTGTTTTCAAAGACGCCATCTATTGAAAACCATCGGTACAGATTGCGTGTGTTTTCGATTTATCGTCTAAAAATAACTGCAGGTTTCGTGTTGTATCTGCGAGTTGTTAGGCATCGGTCCAGATGACGTTATAATCGCGCGTAGAGGGTGGGACCGCGGAAGGATGTTCGCGTTTCACCTGTATTTTTTAATCACTTATCGTTTCCGGAATTTTAATATTTCCGAGTAACTGAATTCTAGGTTAGAATTCTACTCAAGTAATGTTTGCCCAGCGAAACATCTGCAAGTCTAATTCCAAAATTTAGGAACTTAATGGAATTGAACAGGATTTTGAAGAAACAATCATTAGTCCGTGATAAATTAATATATTCCGATTAATAATTAATATTTTCACGAGCAAGACCGTTATTCTATTTTTGAGCGGAATAGATTTTTAAATTAAAACTTGGTCTTGATTCGTCTAAAAAATTTGGCCTCATAGAACATTATGTTTCTTTAAACGTTCGAGCTACTCAGGGTCGCATCGATGCTATCGTTCTTTTACGGAATGTTGTACGTTTCACAAGAAATTTGTTTTTCGCAGTGACTTGCTTTATAAAGAGATTGATGCGTTTGTTGCAGTGACTTAATGTGAGGCGACGCCTTGACGCCCCGGCTTTCTTTTCTTCCACGAGACGAACGAGACTTGGAGCAGGCGCGTGTAAACTGGCGCGCGTTCGCCGCCTCTGTATCGCGGCAAACTGGTATTTTGCCAACCAGTAATCGTGCAAAACGATGCTCCAATAATTCAATGCTATTCGAGCTAACGGAATGTCGGGCTACGCGCGCGCGCGCGCGCGCCTGTTACCGCATGTCTCTAGTCGCGTTCGTAGCATCGCGTTTAATTGCTGGCGTCGCAAATACGTCGCCGATTTTAATTGCCGCTTGCACGACAATTCGTTCATTGCTGCGATTGAAATTTCATGTGGCTTCATTCAAGTGTTCGACGGCTCAAGTCTAATAGTCTAGCTTGAAGACGTAATAGTCTAATAGTCTTTTCTTCAGACTTGTGTAGTCTAATAGTCTCCTCTTGAGATATTGCGACTTTTCCTTAAATTGCGTCTTTCATTTGTCGATACATTCGATTTTATAATCACGCACTTACTCGAAACTTAATTAGCTACAATTTACAATTAATTACAGATATCCGACTATCTCGGAATTTAACGTTTTTTTCTATTTTGGAAATTTTAGTTCCTCTCGAAAATCAAGGATGCAAGACACGGAACACAGAAGACTTGTAATAAGTTGAAACTCATTTAGCTTAAATCGCGCGACAGTTATCAGTTATTAGTCGAGTTTATATAATATAACTCGAGTTCATTAAATTATTAAATTATTATTAAATTTATTCATTTATTCATCAATTAAATTCATCTTCCTATCTATATACATTGATTAAATTCATCTCCCATGCACAGACGAGAAGACTACGGTTCCCACGGCAACACAGGAAGAGTCGATGGATCGTCGGTCAGAGTTGTTGGCCCGGATTATCGGCCTGACTCGTTCTTGATCTCGATTCGAACTTAAGCTCTCTCAAACGCGCGGCCCAATTCGATATTCAAAAGGGAAACACGAGGAAGCGACGTGCATTCGTGTACTTGGACCACACCTATCACCGCGATGGAGCATCGCGGTGCCTTCAAAAGCGAGGAAATTCAGTGAAAGAAGAGTCTGTCCAGTGACAGTGTTTTCGAGGTCAGTAGACCGCGCGGGCGCACTCGCACGCGCGCGCTCGACGAATAAACCTTAAATCGTCTTTACGACCGTTTCAGCGTCTTTTTGTGAGCACACGATGGGAACGCGTGTGTGTACCTGCGATCAGCAGCGTAGTCTTTACACCAAATAGCGAGGAAGTTCCCCACTTCCTCTTGTCTTACTCTTGATAAGAACCTACGCGCTACTCCGTGATAAACTTCTCTGAAGGGTTTCTCGACAGTATGACTTCCACTGGAAGCGAAACTCGATCGAGCCTGGTGTCGTATTGCGCTCGCGAATGCGAGGATACCATGCGGATGGATCATGTCTTCCTGGACGGGCGCGGACTTCTCTCCAGTTTCCAGGAGTAATGTCGGAGAGTCGTCTAGGCTACGTCACTGGCGGGGTCCTCGTGACACAGATCGGCGATGGCAGCTGTAACGGTACCCATCGGCATGACCTACTCTCGGCGAAGTCGCGCTCTCTTGGTCTTCCTCCTTTTCGTCCTCTCTCCACGCGTCTTTCCCCGACTCTCCTTTCTCGTCCAGGGCCGAATACCGAGCAGGCTCATTGCGCAGGGCGAGAATGTCGTATCGTAAGAATAATACAGCTCGATAAATAACTGTGCACTTCAGCATTCGACCGATGAAACGAGAATTTATTATTATTCCTAATGGTGATAAAAGAGTGAGATCGGCGATACCGATAGAACGCAACCGTCGTGCGTGATGATCGTTCTGATTATTCGAAATCTAATCGTTTGTACTTTCGCAACGATCGAGCAACATACAATCTGTTTCTTTCAGATTTCTTCAGCGACACGAACGTCGCTCATCGAGATCGATTCGCTTCTTGTCGTACGGAAATCTCGAGTTAAGGACAGGGGCGAAGTGAAAGCGCTGGCACGCCACTGCGTGCGTGCGTATAGCATCTTCTCCCGTAGCGGGCTACACTTTTTCCACGTGAGGCACATCGCACGGGGTCGTCGCATGGGCGGGCGGGCAAACGAGCGAGCCAACGGCTGATTACGGGCAGTAATGAAAGCGGCCCGCTTGCACACGGTAGGCAGATAGACAGGTACGCAAGGTGCGCGCTGTCATGTAGCCACGCACCGCAGTCGTCTCCGTCGTCGTATTCGTTCGCATCTTTCGTCTAGCCATCCGCATCTTTTACGGAAGCGATCGCACGTTGTCAATGAGACCAGCAACCGCCAACGCCGCTGTTATTGTTGTTGTTGTTACTCTTCCTCCGACGTAGCCAGTGTGTGCGTGCGTGTGTGCATGTGTGCGTGTGTGTATGTGTGTGCGTGTACGTGAGAGAGTGGTGCGAAAGTTTGCGGGATTTACGAAGAAAGTCGACTGGTCTGCCGGCAGGTCCAGCGTCGGACCGCAACGAATTCAAATCCGTGAGTTATGAGAGCGATCGCGCCCTTCGTTCTTCAGGTGAGCACTTACGTGGTGAAGTGAACACTTTGGTCCTTCCTCTTGTCCCTTGACGATGAACTTTGGATCGAATCCTAGCTGCTTTGCTTTGTGATACAAGTTCTCGATCATTTCAGGTGATTGCATTGCAGTTGACGAGATGTCAAAGCGGTGGGCCGAGCACATTCGGATACGATGCGTCCTCGGCGTGCAGCAAGCCGTATTCGCGCGCGGGGCGCGCGCTCCATGATGATCTGCCCTGCGACTTTCGCCGGCAAAACTGGTGCACGACCGCCGGTAGCTCTTATCCTTGGTACTTCGTCCATTTGCGTTGCTTCGTCCTCCGTAATTGATATTCCTTGAACTTTCGCCCGCGACATTTGTATGCCGCGGTGGTGTTTGCGCGCACACGCGACTCCATAGCGAAAGTATATGCGGCGCGTCTCGTTTGATTAAGACGAAAAAGTAGACGAATCAAAGTGGGTCGAAAAGATATCGTTCATGTAGAATTGGATATCTAATATATTCGAGATCGCCGCGATTGATGTGTTTTATAACTTCCTTAAAATCAAACGCTTGCATTGAATTTGTACCTTCTAGTACCGTATTCCATTCGATGAGATTTATAATGTACGAAGCAGGAATGTTGAATCTGACTTGGAAGATTCCTATAATTTAACGTAATCAACCTTCTTTAATTCATTGATGTCGTCACGTTCTGGAATAAGGAGTATCAGTTCCCATCGGCTGAGACTCGAATCCGAAGATTCGTGTCGTCTTCTTCACTTTGTCAGTACAGAATTATGTTCTGATGGTCGTTCGCAGGCACGCGGTGCGTCGATTCGTGCAGGAAAATCAAGGATTAATGAGACGCATGTACGGTGACGAGAATTATATGAACGTCCTCAAAGCGGAAATCTTCAAGAATAATGTCGAGCAAAAGTACGACGACTACCATCTTCATTTCGCTGATATGCTAAGGTAGTCTCACACCCTTCTCTCACTATTCAACAGTTTATTTTTCATAAACCATCTACTTTGAGACCTACTTTTATACTTTTCTAACTTTTTCAAAGGTCTTCCTTACAAAATAAATCGTTAGTCGCCACGTGCTGCGGATTTTCAGGCAATTCCAATATGAGGACGACGATTATCAGTTCATGCATGACGAGCGGCAGACATTGCCGAGGGTCAGTATGGATGAATACGAAAGTCGCGGATTCACCAGTCGCTCTTTCAACGATCCTATCGCTAAACGACTGAATAAGTTCCCGAAGCTCAGCGAGTACACCAGACCGCACTTTAAACCGACCGAGCGAACTACCACCGGCTTCACCGTTTCTAGCACGACGACTGCCTCGACGTCGACCAGCGCCACGACCTTCGGTACACGTGTATCATCCTCGACGACGCCTGCCACGTCCACTACCGCGACCAGTACGGAAGAAATGTTCGAGACTCAAACACTAGTGACATCAATATCCCCAAACGCCACCACCGAAACAGTCGATGAGGATCTCGCAGCAATCAACAGTACGACAACGACAACGACGTTGTCACCGAGCGTCACCGTAGCTCAGATCGTGAGAGAGCAGAACTTCAGCATCAACGAGATATCCGGGCAAAACGATCGAATCGACGAAGACGTGAAAGAGACCGCGGAAGTGGTGGTGCATTCAGAGGACGACGTCGTAGTCGAAGATGACACAACTTTGGAGTCAATAGGCACAACCAACGTATCTCCAGAACTGTTGTTGATCGAGGAGGAGGAGCAAGAAGAAGAAAAGGAAGAAGAAGTACTCGGTGCGGCCACAAAGACGACTGTACACGAGACCGTAGCCGCTTCGAGTAACCAGGAGCAATTCAGACCGCGTCCCGAGTATCGACCGGGCGTGGCCGAGACGTCGAGTATGAGCGGGCAGCTCTATCAGGATGTCGCGGCGAAGAATCAGCCACCGAAAGAGCCAACGGTATTGAAGTTCAGAGGAGTGTAAGTACAAAGGTCGCGTGTTTCGAGAGAGTAATCTCTGAAAAATTACAATATGACATTTATTTAAAATTCATCATCGGCAACGCGTGTTTTCATCTCTACGATTGTTTTGTCGTTGATATTTCCTTCTTTTTCATTTATTACATCTTGATAAGTCTACGTGAATCCCGCGAGGTACATAAAATCATTGTCAATTGCTCTTAGCAGGAACGCATGTCCTGTCAAGGAGGAGGTAGTCGCGCCGTTCTGGGCCAACAACACTCGCGGCGAAGTTTTGGCTCTCCTGAACCTCTATCCGTTCGAGCAATATGTACATTGGGAGAAGTGCACGTGAGTTGCTTTGTTGCTTGGTCCTGAGAACGTCTTGAATCTCAGATTTCTCTCAAATCTCTTGCAAATTGGCGATTGCTACGCGCTGATCTTGTCGCAGAAATGAAAACAAGCAGATGTACTGCCGGGACGGCTGCAGGTGCGAACAGCAGTACAGGTTACATCGGTTGCTGGCTTACGACCCAAACAATGAATGCCGCGGCATCTTCAGCGACTGGTTCAAGTTTCCCAGCTGCTGCCTATGCCGTTGCTACGATCTGCCACTCGAGTTTCGGGTGACATCGCGCTCACCACGCACTCACTCTTCGCACAAACGGCGGATCAAGGTGCAAGCGCCGCGGGACCGTTACGCGTGATCGAATTGTCCTGGCCGGTCGCCAAAAGTGCAGCGTAAGTGAAGGCAAGCCGTTGAGAATAAAACCGTTCACGCATTCGACTAGCGTTGTTGAAACCTTAACGAGAGAATGCGGTGATCGATGCAATGTATTCTGAAGTATTTAAACATTGAAAGTTGAGTTGTAACGAATGGTATCGTATGGAGAAAAAGAAACAAAAACGCGTAGTCGATATATACGCTCTAATCGATATATTCCGAGATTTCACGACGTTTGTGTACTATTTAATTCAGCTGCGTCGAGCTGTACGCGTCATCGAGTTTTCCATCGACTCTCTGTTACACGACACATTCCATGCAATATATACCGCTGTAACTAGTGTTACAAACACCACGCAACACAATTATTTATTTTTATGAAAGAAATGTATTTATACATACATACATATATATATATATATATATATATATATATATATATATATATATAT